GGCAAGGGAGACACAGAACAGGATCTATTTGAAAGTGAACACCATACCATAATAGGCCTGTGGATCTCTTATGCCTTGTTTTATAAAATATGCTACAGTAATTAAAGACACTTTCATTGAGGCAAACTGGAAAGGGACTCTCCATAGAATAATAAAGTGTTAGCTCGGATTCTGAATAGCTGTTCTTTTGAACACTCGAGAACAGTGAAAAACTTCTTACAGCAACTTTGTGAGGTAGGTGAGGGCAGGTATTCCTACTACCATCTTAAAAGGGGAAACTAGGCATGAAGAGATGAGGGAAACTGCCCAAGGACACAGAGCTCTGACTAAACTCCAAGTCTCTGGTTCACGTTTTTTGCCTTTCTACTCTCAAAGGCAAGTTCTCAACAGTCTTTTTCCTGAAATTTCCTGCATTTGAAAATACCTGCAGATTTTTCCTTTACAGTTCAGGTTTGACTAGGAAATGGGTTGAGTTAAAACTTATTTTCTATACGGAATTTTGCACATACCAAGAGATGTGAGAGTTATAGCTATATATTTGAAGTCTAAGTAAATCAATGTCAAGTAAGAATAGTGTCAACTTATTCAATATAATTTTTATATATTTAAGAAGCCATGTTCAGAATAAAAGTCATAGGCATTTCAAAGTTTAAATCAGAGTCTGAGTCATTAAAACCAGAAGTTGTATTTTCCTTAAGAATATTGGGATCTCTGTTAGAAGGTTGAAATATTACTGTCATGAATAATTTTCATCACTTTACTATATCATATTACATATATTCAGTTCACATTATCACGATAGCTCGCAAAAGATTCTATCATTAGAGCTAATATCTGCAGCATTAACACTTTCAATCTTTATTCTCATTGAAGCAAGTTAGAATTTCTTTCCATCTATATTAACTAAAGTTACATTCTCATGTATCATTTTCTTTCCCCCTTTCATTTATAACTGTGTGTGTGTATGTGTGTGTAGTATGGGGGAAGACCTTCATGACTGATAAATGGCATAAAACACTCATATCATAAAACACAGTGGTGGCACTTAAGTAAATCAAAGAGTAGTATGCCAAAGGACACACTTCAGAAGTCAAACATGAAAAAACATGCTCAGAAAGTCTCTCAATCAAGCTACAACTTGTGACAGGGAAGCCTCCTTCCCCAATTATTTTACTATTACTCATAGTGGACAAACTATCTCTAAATCCCTTTTTCCTTTTTTCTTTAAAGAGGAGAAAGATACTGTACACTGGGATAAGAAATGAGAAACTTCCTGGCAAGTGTTTAAAGAATCTTGTAGGGATGAATTATTAGGTTTTGGTGTTTGCTGTTTTAATTTTTAAGAGATTTATTTATTTTTATGCATACAAGAACTGGGGTACAGGCCAGAGTTGTGGGGGTGAGAGGATTCAGAGACAGAGTGGGGAACAGAACAGGCAGACTGACTGAAATACACTGCTGAGGGGAGCAGTGGGCGAGTCAGGAGAGGTCTGCTGTGCCATGTGGGTATCTCCTTGGTCAGGGATCAAACTCATGCTTCATTGGCTGCAGTTAGCTTCGTAGGTTGCGTCTTAACCCCTTGTACCACCAGGGAGGCTCTGTTTTAATTTTTAACAAAGGGCACACATACATTTGAAAGTCATCATCAATACAAGATGATTCCCTTTCTGTGAAATGGAGGTATTTGCAGTTGCCATTGGGCTGTGCAAATCCAAATCCTGGAATTGAACTGATTTCATTAACCTAGTTGGACTGTCTATACCAGGCAAAAGTACCCCTTCATCACAACCTACCTGTGTGGTTTTTTTTTCAAATCATTCACAAGAAAACATTTTTTTTTTACAGGAAAAACTACCCTGTCTGAAAAGATGTTTTCGATGGAAAGGGAAGAGCCAGAGAAGCCAGGTTAACAGCAATGCTATGGCTCTATTTAAGGATAAATGTTTCCTTAATTGATTTCAGAAGCAACTTCCAAGACATCTCTAAATTTAGCAAGAATAGATGCAGCTTTAGGATTGGGACAACAACATAAATTTAGATTACCGAGGTACTCTTAGGTCCCTTCTCCTGGTTCAAAGAGCAACAGGACTCTTTTATAACGTGGCTGTGAGATGCTGACAAGTATCAAACAACTGTAAGGTCTCTGTCCCAGGATCTCAATAGAGAAAACTTCTCCCCATCTCTTCCCTCACTATACACTCTCACAACCCCACCAGTCCATTTCTTTACAAATGTTGCCACAGGTTCTTGTAACAGAGCCACATCTGCACCATTTTTGTAGAAAGTCTTTGCTTCTTTGGTTCTAAAAATATTATAAAAGGGTCACATTAAGGGATTTTTGTTTGCTTGCTCCTCTAACTAAAGTCATGCAAAAGAGACAAAGTTCTAGGCATTAACTATCAGAGTGATCTCCCTCTCTAGTGTGTGACAGTCTCTTAAACTTCCAACATAAAATTATAGATGTGTACAGTCAATTTTTGGAAACTATAAACCCCAAAAGGATAAAGTGACCAGTATTCCTATATGTATTTTGCTCATGTAAGACAGTTCCTAACAGTCTTTTTTTGGGGATGAACTATTACTGCACAATTCTCTTTTTTAAACAAATATTCCTTGGGAAGTAGACTATAAACTTGAACAAATAACCAAGCACTTCACCACGGCACTAAGCACCTATACCAGGTACCTTGATTTATGGAGTCAACTAGTTAAAAGAACAAAATAAGATCCATGTGTCAGGTTCAGAATGAAAGAAAAAAGAAAATACAGGGATATTTCTTTTCTAGGCTGCTTTAAAGTGTTGGTCTACAAGAATTATATGCCTGTCAACTTAGGACAAGGTTGAAATGTGATGAATAAAATGATTAAAATTAAAAATATAAAAAATATCCCTGATAGGGGCAGATACTTGCAATAAAAAAATCCGATTGCTTGAAATATATAGCAACAAATTCCAAAATCAGGTACCGATGTTCCATCAAGACTTGCTTGATGTAGGGGTAAAGGAAGTAGTTCAAAATAGTGTATTATATATATGTATAAAGTGTAACTGAAAAATATGAAGGAAAAAATGGGGTGGCCAATGTCTATAATGAAATTGCATGTTGATTCACTTCAAATTATAAAATTTTATATAAAAATTACATTTTCTCACTTTCAATTACTTGAAACCTTCTCATTTGTACCCATTCTCAGCGGAAGAACAGAATCTAGTACAGTAAATAAAAAGTAATATACTGAGTCCTGGTAATTTAAAATTCTAAGCTCCAAAGATGGGATAAAGTTTACCTTTTAATCTCTGACAGAAAAATGTCCTACTAAGCAAATTTATGGTGTAAAAATACAATGGGAATATTTTACCTTGCTTTGGAGAATTCATTTTTTTCATGTATCTTTGTAAAAAGTTAGTTTACCAATACAAATAATCTTTTTTTTTAAAGATTTATTTTTATTTATACATACAAGAACTGGGGGTACAGGCCAGAGTTGTGGGGGTGAGAGGATTCACCAGAGACAGAGTGGGGAACAGAACAGGCAGATTGACTGAAATACACTGCTGAGAGGAGCAGTGGGCAAGTCAGGAGAGGTCTGCTGCGCCATGTGGGTAGCTCCCTGGCCAGGAATCGAACTCATGCTGCAGTGGCTGCCGCGAGCTTCATATGTTGCGTCTTAACCCCTTGCGCCACTAGGGAAGCCCTACAGATAATCCTGACTTATTCACTAAGAAACTGGATGAGATATATTTGAAATTAAAATCATATAACATACCTTTTACTGCTTTCCAATTAATTTCCATTCATAAATTATTACTTAGCTGATTTTTTAATTAATGGAAATACTATACTAATTGGTCTGTATCCCTGACTCCACTCAGACACTTAAACTGCTTCTTCATTGATGTTTAGGGTTAAATCAACTTTAAAAGTATGCTAGGAAAAGAATCAAGTTAGCAAATCTTCTAATAAAATATAAATTATGGGGGGGGGGACTCCCATTTCAAAGTCAGCTATCAATGACAACTGGATTATGTGCTATTTGCTTTCCAGGCCTGTAAAAATGGTATCATTATCCTAATGTTGATTATCTGACCACTTAAGCAGTTTCAGTATAGCTGATGTTAAAGAAAATAAATGTAACAATCATTTTACTAGACAAGTTGCTCAAAAAATGACAGATTACATGAAATAAATTCATGTGTTAGTTTTAGTTGGTTACTTCAGGGGGAAAGAATCTGAGTTACAGAAGAGCCTCACCTCCTCTCCACATTGAGAGGTCTAAAGACTACCTTTAATGCCCACTATAGAAACATTAAATATTCTACATTAAAATAGTGTTAACAGCTTATTGTACAAATCCAAACTCTAAATTTTATGGAATTAGTAGTTTGGTTGGGGTATTAACATTCTATCTTAATTTTTTAAAAAAAGATTTATTTTTTTATTTATGCGAACTGGGATCTAGGCCAGAGGTGCAGGGGGTAAGAAGATTCACCAGAGACAGAGTGGGGAGCAGAACAGTCAGATCTACTGAAATACACTGCTGAGGGGAGCAGCAGGGCAAGATAGGAGTGGTCTGCTGTGCCATGTGGGTAAGCTCCCTGGCGGGGATCAGAACTCATGCCACAGTGGCTAGTGATATTATGATTGCGCTGAGACTTAACCCCTGCACCACCAGGGAAGCCCGCTATGTTAATTTTTGCTAATATCACAAGGTAAGAAAAAGCTAGAAATAGCTATAAAAATAAAATACCTTAAAATCAACACCTAGGCAAATTATAAAAGTTGCACACAAGTTGCTAATAAATATAAACATCACAATAGAAAAATTAATATTAAAAAATAAACGCAAAATTGCTATTAAGACATTATAAAAAATGAAAAAGTTTAATGTGCATGTATATTTGCAAACAGACATAGTACACTCCAAACAATATAATCTTACTATCATTATTACATAATGCAGCATACAAGGTTACTGAGGTGTGGTGTTTTTGTTTTTAGTCTATTTTTTTCTGGAGGAATGCTCACCAAATTCACAAGCAAGAACTGATTAAGTGATCATCTACTGGTGTTTACTGCTTACAACTCCAGGGAAAAGTTGCATTCTGGTGGATTACTACTTTTCTAGTAAGTATGAATGGTTATGCTATTACCCTCTCTTTTGTTTACTTCCTCCACAGCCTGTTTTTGCATGTTCTATTTCTAATTAAACGATCACACTCTTTTAGATGTATTGTCATCTAAATGATGTTTCAGTTCTCACATCAGAGGAAAAAAAATAGGAAATCATTTCAAATATTTTTTGCCTAGAATGGAAAATCTACCTAAGTCTACAGACATAATCATTTAACTTTTTCTCTTAAATTGAATTCCATGGTGGCTTGGCTCTCCCTTTATAAAGCAGTCTTACTTAATAAAGATTAAATAGAAAAGGCTGTCATATAGATATCTACAAAAAGGTTAATCTATGCTAGGGGGAAAAATAGGAAAGACAGCCTATGACATATATTCCTGGCAAGTTACCAGGAATGCCCTTTGGGCATTTGCTACTATACCCAGAATTATTAAAAAATTAGGCAGATTTGCTGTTTTATGTGCCTATATATTGATTACCTTCAACACAGCTAAAACCAGAAAGGGTTAATTCTATTACAAATTTCAAGCTTACAAAATACATTTGGTGAGCATTTACCTACCTACCTACTTTAATGAATAAAAGCTTTATTTGGTTCCCTCAGACCGGATTCAGGACAAGGAATAACATTATTTATATGAAACTGTCACACTCTTGGAGTTCTAAAATAATTTATTTTTTACATTTTTAGCCTCCTGCTATTTGAAAAATAAAAATCTACAGCACCATCATCTGAAAAGGCACTTTCTAAGAACCGCCTTGCTTTTAAAAATGATTAAAAAATTTAATGCAGTGTCTACCCTGAAGAATGTCTTTGCTTTACTGAGACTTAACAACCTAACATAGCTAATACATTAGATTTTGGTTACCTTGGACAATGATTTCAAAAAGGAAGGGAGACCAATGTCTGGAAAAATAATTTGACAGGATCTTAATTTTGTCACAATGTTTGTTACCTGATACTTCAACAGGGTTTCTCAACAGTAAATTCCAGCCCTCTATATTAAACTATCGATCTTTAATTCAAAATAAAATCTTTAGCTTCCATACTTTAAAAGATTGTTGAGGTTCAGTCATAATGTAAAAATCTGGAGCACTATCTTTGATGGGTAAAGGAAAATAAGATTCAACTGTAGCAGACAATACCAGTATAAGCCTTGACTAGTGTATCTCAGTTGAAAAGAATTATTCTGACCAACATGGAAAATTATAGTGAAATGTACCGCTTTTAAAAGTAGGAAAAAGAAAAAACATACTTACACACACACACACACACACACACGCACGCACATGCAAAGTGAGAGAGACAAAAGACTGATCTTATCCTCTTGGGAATCAGTTTGGCTTTCGCTAGTCACAGCATCATTTCTAACACTGCCACTGATCAAAAATGTTCTTAATATACACGGGAATTTAAAAAAAGATTTTTTGGGGAAGAAAATTCTCATTTTTGCATTGCTATATTGGTTTTCACATCTATTCTTGGCTTATTTTTTGACATTTATAGAATCACAAAAGTGCTTTATAAGATAAATGAGAAGGAAATGGGAAAATAAATATAGCCTAACTATAGAGTTAGGATTATACTGCCACTCAGGATGGTCTCATCTGATATAAAGTTTTCCAACTATTATTAGTGAAGCTTTTTAAGACATATTCCATGAATTCTCAAAAAACGAAAATGACTAAAAACCTCATATGGATAAGAAAGCCAAAATAAAGATGCCAGGCCAATGATGTATTTTGTAGCTTGACTGATAATTCATAAAAAGTAATTTAAGTAGCAAGTTACTGTAAGGGCAACCTGTTTTTAAAAGTATTCATAGAATGCAAAGCAAATATTTAACTCAGATTTAATGATACTGAGTAAAAATCACATAAGGTTGCCACTTAGGTTTCTTGGCAAAACATTAGCTATCAAGTTTGAAATAGCAAGACTACAAAATATTTTTTTATTTTGTGGATTTCATAAAAATCACTACCCTTGGCAAATTCACACCAGCCTCTGAAAATACCCACAAAGTTCTTTGAGTAATGGTCTCTAATTCCTGGTCTCTAATCTATCTAATTACTTCAGATTTATTCCTGGCATCCTGACTGCTCCTATTCCTTAAACACTGAGCTTCTCTGCCAGCCATTTCTAATGAATAGAAACTCAGCTTTTATTTCCCTAGACATACCTTAAGCCTGTCACAGCTAACCCTGTCATGAGTTCTCTTATACTAAATCCATTAGAGAATACATAATTAAACACTGGGCAGTGTTGGGTTATCAAAGAACCTAGTATGGAAAGCTAATAAAGGTCTTCAGAAGGCTAAGAATCCCTATGCTATTAATAGAAGGTAGAGATGAATCTTTATCACGTGCCTTCCTCTAACACTCAGTCCACTTCTATTAGAGTCCCTCCAGATTTTCTTCTATGAAGAGGTTACAAACAGGGAAGATCTCTATGAAGATCTCTAAGTTCACTGAGGAAGTTGTTAAAAGGTAAATACTAAGAAAAAAATAATGGGCAACTGTACTTCTGGGAAAATATGTCTAAAACCAGTACTAAAAAGGCTAACATTCCCTTTTTCAAAACTGCTAAGCTCAAAATCCTATTTCTAAAACAAAGAAAGAATATCTCAATATTAAATTGAAACTATAATGGCAGCACCCTTTGTTACCTTGATATTTCATGTTCTTAATCTTATTTAGGGGAAAAGAAAAAGGGAGAGTGTCTAACACTAGCCTTGAATCCTGCTCATCTCCTTATTGTTTAGTGCAGTAATTGTCAGACTTACATGATTCAATAAATATAGCAGCTACAGTATTATAAGTGTATGGTCCTCAATGCCAGTAACCTGATACTGTAATATAATAACATGTATCAGCACTTTACACAGACACATCTGCCATCCAGAATATACATTAAACTCCCAATTCCTCTTCACATGAACATCAATTGTACCAGTTGCTGGGACTTACATTTTAGAGTCATGTTTATACATTATAGAAAATAGCAAATCAAAATCAGCATTCATTATTTAGTTAAAAGCAAGGGCAGAAACATGACCATTAAATTCAAAATAATTGTTTTCGAATTAAAAGATCAGAAATTCTACACTAGAAATACAATAATTAAAACAAATTTCAAAAAGTATTTGCCACTTAGCCTTTTATCTTAAAATTCTAAGTATAAGGTATCTTTAATTGTTTGTTATACCAATTAGCTAGTAAGTAAATTAGAACTATACAATACATACTCTTTCAAGTTAAGCAACCCTAAACAATGCTGAAACTGTAGGAGCACCCTAAAAAGAACTCACTTCAAAGGTGAAGCTTTATATTAAAAAGTGTTTTTTTTTCTGCTGTAGAAGTCCAGATAGATTTAAATTATGGGTTTTATTCTAGGGTGTATGAGACTATGTAACTGAAAATGATTAGGTAAAGCTGTAAACAGGGAAAGAGTATTTATAGTTTTTCCCTGGGCCCTAAAGGTTTCCTCATGAATCTTTGCAACTCCCATCAACAAAGGAAGATGTATTTAAGAATACTGAGCAAGCATACAAGTAATCAAAATTTCATAATCAAGATATTCTATTTTCTTCTTCTGCCCATTTCTTGACTATATTCAGTGAAATTTCAATGTAAAAATTTTTTATAGTAATTTTTTGGAGAAAAGGAGGAAGGGGTGGGAGAAAAACGTATATACTATACAAATATTACCTATGTAAAGGGTTTTGGAACAGTGTTGTAAATTGCATTTCAGACACTTCAATATAATAAACATACAAAAATACAGTACTTTTTCAGTTTTCTGGCAGAGGGACAAAAGATTTCATACCTGCTGGAGGACATGGGCTCAGATTTTAGGCTCAAAATACAGTAAATTGGCAATAAGAGTGGATTACAGATAAGAAAGAAATTGAAGAGTTACAATTTGTTTATAGATGCAGATGGAATCCTGAAAGGTTTCAAAGTTAGCAACAATGCCCACTGAAACAATCTGTAATATCTATACTCTGAACCAGTGCAAAAAGAAAAAAGTTTAAATGAAATTTTTATGAGTTACAAAGTGCAAATCTCCCCTGAATCCAATGTTACTGAAAAACTTGGTTTTGACAGCTTTATAGTACTTTTTCATATCTTAAAGTGAAATCAATAAAAGTTTTGTAAAACTTTCCCCACATTTCAGTTATTTCAGTGATTTAACTCATTTAAAATAATCAAGATCCTAACTTCCTTTGTCACCATCACCCTAATTTTAAAAGGAAAGTTACACTGGTGATAAATTAGCAAAAAAAAATTTAAAAATATCATTTTACATTTTCCTGATTCATTTTAGTAAATGAAAATGGGTACCTAACTCAATAAACATGAGCTTTTTTCAAAGAATCTTCTAAATCTTAAGCTATTCACTGTCATTTCTTAAATCAAAGTTCAACTTTATTTCTAGTATTCAAGGTCAGACTTAATTAGGACATTAAATTTCCTTCATTTTCACTATGATTTTTAAAAGACAGGCTTAAACTTTAAAATTATAATACTTTCCTTCTGAAATTAAGGCTGTATTACTTTGCCCTTTTAAAATTATGAAGGTGCCTGTTCCTCTTACTACTCATGGTAAAGGTGTCAAACAGACACAGCTTTCCTTTAAAACTGCTTATTGCACTAAAAGATAACAAAAACAACTTGTCAGTTCTTAAAATAAAAGTGATTAAATTTCTATAAAAGATGTTGCCAATATGATCCTATAATTATTAAAGCACTATTCTAATAAATATAAAAGAAAAGGAAGCTAACTTCAAACACATACATATATGTTTATATATACACATATATAAAAATATATATATGAAAATCACATTAAAGTATGAGAGGCAGCAAGTTAACTAGCAAACAAAAATTAATAAAAACCTCAACAAACCCTTCTCTCTTTGCATCCAATCTCAGAGCCTCAACCCTAGAGAGTTCCAATCACTTAAAATATTTACCTTTCATAAAAGCTTTAAGGGATTTCCATTATAACTCATAGAAACAGAAGGCTTTAGAATACATATCATTTATAGAGAGAAAGAGTTAGAACTACTGACAGTTTTATATTTATAGCAGCTTTAACAAAAGCACTAAAGAAAAAGAATAGGTTGCTACTGTTTATGTACACATTGCACAAATGGCAAATGTAAGTTCAAAGCAGGAGGGGCAGACACACTCTCACAAAAACAGATACATGAAATAATTTTGTTTCTTAAGAAAGAAAGCAATATCAAAAGTTGAAGACTCAGAACTGTGTATGAGATAAGAGATAGGAGTAAGGTGTGCAAAAAAAACCAAAACAAAACAAAATCTAGTTTGCCATGCTTCATATTCAAATGAACCAGATACAGGAACATCTGAATGTCACTGGTAGCATTAGGGGGAAAATGTCTGCAATGAAGGAAAGGGAGGTAGAGAGAAAGAAAACTGGTGGTAGGGGGATAGCAAAAGGGAAAGGAAGTCCCCCAATGGAATGAGCTATAATATACACAGACACATATATATCTATTGTCAATGTAGATCAGATATATATGCATATGAAATATGCATGTATATATTTGGAATATACACAGATACCTTTTATGATACATGAATCCACATTAATTTTTTTGCACACATAATTGTGAATAATCACTTTGATTATTCATGTAGGTGTATATTTTTAAACCATCATTTACATTTACTTTACTTTTTTTTTTTTTTTTGCAAAGATAGTTGTGCTGCCAAGCAACTTGAGGTAAAGGCATTAAAAGGGTTAGACTACAAGAAAGAGAAAATAAAACAATCGCGATACTTCCTACAGGAGACCGCACAAAAAAGCAGTTGGCTGGTTTCATATTGCATAATGGTACTGTGTTCCTTGATGGAGTAAACAATCATCATTGCATCAACATAAAGATCAGACACAGGCCTCCACACAGTGTTGACTTCTGTATGGCTGGAGGCATCCCACTCAACTGACTCCACTGGAAACATACATTGTATGTTGATTCATCTTTCATTTCTTCCTTTCAGAGACTATCCTTGGACTTCTTAAGCAAAGTACATTGTGCGTAAGGTATCCTGGTGAATCTGTACAGCCTTGGCAAGAGCCTGTGGATCTCGCCCATTGCTCTGTCCTGAAACATGACTTCCTTCGGCACTGTAAGAGAAGTAGCAATGAACACAAAAACAAACCCTATTTTGATGTAGTAATTCTGAACAATATCATGTTACAAGAAAATGTGAAAATATTTTTTTTAAAAAAGGGACTGGCATAATGAACTTCAATCTGTCACCCAGTTTCAATAATTAATTAATTCAAGGCTGATTTTGTTTCTCACTTCTTTAGGATTACTTAGCAGCAAACCCCTATCATTTTTATGTTTATATCACATTTATTACTAATAATCTCTCCATTGAGTTAATTTGGTAAAGCCTAATTACCTACACAGCCCATCTGAGTGTGATCCCTTATTTCAGGCCATCTGTTCTATTTTTTTCTTTTAAAAAGATTTATTTATTTATTTGTTTGTTTGTTTGTTTGTTTATTTATTTATGCACTGGGTACAGTCAGAAGTGCAGGAGGGTGAGAGAATTCACCAGAGCCAGAGCGGGGAGCAGAGCAGGCAGAAGGACCGAAGTACACTGCTGAGGGGAGCAGTGGTGGCAGGAGAGGTCTGCGCGCCATGAGGGACCCTCCTCCGGTGGCCGGGGAGCAGCCGGGGATTGAACCGGTGGTGCAGAAGCTGCTGGCAGCTTCGCAACCCAGCGCTCAACCGCTGCGCCACCGGGGAGACCCTAAATGCCAGTATTTTATAGGAAACAGGAGCATACACTTACATGGAAATACTTGAAAGATATTTTCCAGGAAAATTCTAACACAGAGACCATATTTGGATTTGGGTAAGAATCTGTATTTGTTATGTTTCTATATTACCTGTCATGTTCTTTGTCCACAAGATGATATCTGGCTCTGAATGCCACCAAGTGAGCATAATACGCTGGTGCAGGTATAGAAACAGACCGTGTACAGCGCACATACGTGTGGCAGAGCTGGTAAGTTAGCAGCTGAAGTTCATCTGCAGTAAAGCAGTTATCATCCCATAAAACATGATAGTGTGAAGGACGGCTGGTACCCTATAGAGAAGACAATTGTATATATTCTGTTGATTTTTAAACTTTAAAAAAAAAATTCAGCACAGACTAAGTTATATAAAAAGCTAGTTTTTGTACATTAATAAATGATATACTAATTTAATAACTGATTTTTAAAAAGATTTATTTATTTATAAAAGCACTGGGTACAGTCAGAAGCGTGGGAGGGTAAGAGAATTCACCAGAGTCAGAGCAGGGAACAGAACAAGCAGACTAACGAAATACACTGCTGAGGGAAGGAGCGGGCGCGACAGGAGAGGTCTGTCATGCCATGTGGGACCCTCACCGGTGGCTGGGGATCTAACTCGCACTGCAGAGGCTGCGGG